CACCCCAGGATACCATTGGCCTTCTTGGCAACAAGGGCACACTGCTGGCTCATGGTCAGCTTGTCGTCCACCAGGACTCCCAGGTCCCTCTCAGCAGAGCTGCTTTCCAGCAGGTCAGCCCCCAGCCTGTACTGCTCAGAAGCAATTCAGGAGATAAAAAGGGAAAAGAATGAAGAAAATTTTCGTCTGTGATAGGAAAGGCAAGAGAATAAGATAAACTCTGCTGATAGATAGAAAAGCAACCAGAATTCAAACCGTGCTTTCATTTTGTTATAAAATAGGAACCTGGCAATTAAATATTGTGCAATACACACCATTTATGGCATTACAAATGTTGTTGCCTATATTACTAGGGAGGCTTGTCCTTGAGCTGGAAGGTGCTACAAATGTTTTTCAAGCTATCCACATGCATACTGTGTCTGTATGCATACAGGAGGGTTCAGAACTGCTCCTAGACTATTCATACTCTGATAATAGTGCTTGCTCTGTGTGTGTGTGTGTATAAAAAGGAGAGTACTTCTATAAAATAGCTTTATCTGTCTTTATCCTTACACAGACACCAAAATAAATTCTATTTATTTAGGTGCCTTTGAAGGAAAAAAGAACTTTTTTTTGCATAGAACTAAGTAGGGATTTTAAATGAGGGTGAACAGAATGGTCCTCTGAAGTCCAAATACAGGACTAGAATACAATATTTCCAGTAATTGCCTGAAATAAAATGAGTGGAGGGCAATAATTTTTGTGTGCCAATGATTCCATTTTATTTATTTGCTTGTAAACTTTACATATGGTACCAAATATGACAAAATTTTACCATTTATTTAGTTTCAGTAAATTGCCTTTCAGCTGTTTTTTTCAGGTTTTTTCCCCACCTGTGTTGCTGCTGGTTTATATTGTTAGGTTTTTCTTAGCTTTTATTTCCCCTTGTTTCATCCAATGGTGCCATATTCCAAAACAGACCAGATGCATCTCTTTAAAAAACTAGTTTTATGTGTATGCAGAAATCAAAGTATGCTGATCTAAAAGGACAAAAAAAATGTTGATAGATTAAAGTCTCTATGGTCTGTGATTCATCAGTATAAAAGCCCTGATACCTTATGTAAGGTTTGGAGCCTTCTAAAGTAAATATGAGGTATAAACTAATGGTGTGCTTGACTTGGTTAGATTGTTGTAAACTGTGACGTTTCTGCACATAGGTTATGAGTGTTAGATTTTGCTTTGCTTTCTAACAAACCTCTACAGTACATAACCATATGTGGAACCAGGCCTTGTGCAGAAAAAAATGGACAGCACATGAACTGAAGGTCAAAGGTACATAATTTCATCACAGAAAAAGCAGACCCCACATGCCTATCTGGTTATAGCTTCTCTCTCCCATCCCAGTGCCTCCTTTAATACCCTCTATGCAGTCTTTCCCTCCACAGGATTTCCACCACAGGAATCATTGGGGTTTATTTATGAAGTAATAAAGAAACAGTGTTCCAACACAGTTCTGCTTAGTTGGCAATGGCCCCTGGATACTCTCCACAGACAGGGTGAACCTAATCAGTGTCTGTTGTTCTTTCACAGTTTTAGTTCCTATATACCCTTTGTTGCCCTTGAAGGTACAGACAAGTCTTGAAGATTTTAATTGTCTTTAAAGAAAGCCAACTCAGGAGGATCAAACTAATGCAAAAAAGCAGAAGCTTCTCTTTCCACACATATTTCTAAAGCCTGTAGTTGCGAGCTGGGATTTTATCCTGGAAAAGCATACAATGCCATGCTGAGATATGGATAACATGCATTTTAATCTTTGCACAAGGCGACTGCATTTTTTAAGCAAATCAGTTCCTTGGTAGGGCAGAGTTACAAAGATGTATCAAGCTTTTCCAGCCTCAGTTGGATTTTGATCAGTCAGTTCACTGTATCGCTTTTTATTTAAGGTTACATAAACTTTGGAATCAAGTTGCAGCTTATTTTTAATGAAGTATCATGGTTTCTAGCAAATGAAATTCTGATCCTGATCTTCTTTATCTAAAGCTTTTTTGCTCTAATGAAGTGATTTTGTCTTCAGTCAAGAGCAAGAGCTAGTGGCCAATCATATTGTTTAATTCATATTTATTTGAGGACTAAACAAGTGTGAGTGAAGAATGCAGTAATGATGTTTTAATATGCAAAAATTGCCAGTAGACAAATTCAATTTACTCCACTATTTTTCCCTTTATTTCTTGTTCACTGTTCAAGAACAACAATTATTTTGGTAATAAGCATTATTTTAGACTGTCTTTGTTGTGTAGTTATCTAGGTAAGAGGATATTTTTATCTTCTGTTATTTTTTGACATGTAACCAGACAATTCTAATGAAAATTTCACATGCACTTGTAAAACCAGGAAAAAATTTTATTCCACGGGTCTAAATTTGCACTCTTGATAGTTAAGGTTATAAGCTGACCGGACTGTAATAGAGCGAACCAGGTCTGCTAAGCTAGAGGGAAAAAAGGACAAGATCTTGACTTGATCCTTCTAGTAAAGAATTAACTTATGGCTTTAAGATTAGTAACACTTGCAGCTACTTAATTTAAATGCTCTGTGTCATTGAAGCACATGGCAGAAGTACCCTAGAGGATCAAAACGTTCAGAAGCTGGTTTCGTCCAGTCTCAGATGACCCAACTATGTTTTGGGGACGTGTGGTTTGTTAAATGAACATCTAAAAAGTTCATTTTACTAATTCTTCTCTTTCATGAACTGGTTTATCCATGTTCAAAAATCTTCTTAAGAGCTAATAAGGGAAGCCATATACAATGTAGACAGTTTATAGTAAATCAAGATCCCTCTTCTGGGATTGTCTAAGGACTCAAGAACACCCAATGCTTTCTTAGACATGCCAAGTATGGTATGCAACTGTGTCCTATCTTAACATTTAAAGCTGTGCTTAAATTTTAACTATTTCATTTACCATCTTCCAAATTTACCTATAAAGTTTCAAAAATTAAGCTTACAAAAACAAAAATATTGATCTATTTTCTTAGTGTTTATTGATTAGATTAAATTAAAACATGTTCTAAAATAGAATTGGGGAAAAGTATAATTCAGATATCCTTTGTCTTATTTTATGTAGGCATATAACGGTCTATAAATTGTTTCTATTCTGAGTCTAGCATTAAAAGTTTTTAAAAGAAAAGAACAAAACAGTTAAATTGTTAATGCATTTTAAAAAATTGCCTCTTTCTCACTGTATCAAATTTGTTTTGGGTTAAGGCCATGGAAAGTGTTACTGTGGAAACTGTTACTGTGAGGCTGGTTGGCATGGAGATAAATGTGAATTCCAGTGTGACATCACCCCCTGGGAGATCAAGAAAAGATGCACATCTCCAGATGGCAAAATCTGCAGCAACAGAGGTGTGTCATTTGCACGTTCCTTCCCTGCCCATATTTATATAGCTTGCTTTTATTTTACATTATGCATTTTCTGCAGTAGGACATAGACTGTGTTTGCTGATAGGTTCTAGTTTGTTCTCACTTATTTGAGATCTGGATATATGTTTCCAAGTGAGTGGGTAGATACCTGTGTTTAGGTATAAATGTACACAAATCCACACCCATTTTTGGATTAAGTTGACCCAAGTTGTTCTCATCCTTCATTTTTGTAGTAAGACTGAGCAGGATGACTTGTTAGTCCATCTGCTTTGGTGAGAGACCTATCCTGCAAAACAAAATATTAGCGGATTTTTTACTTGAATGGATCGGTGCCAACAGGATTGTATGTCAATTCACTCTTAAAGAAGACCAAGGACCCACAACTGAATAGGGAAAATGAAAACAGAAAGCTTTTAGTTTCCACTGCAACCTGAAAAAACAACTAAGAAGTGTTCGGTAACAATGCTGTGGAATGCATACAGAGCTGGAAAGGTAGCCTTCACGCAATATTTCTAATGGCGTGCGGTTTTATCTCCACAAAGTTCCAGAATTTGAATTTAACTTATACTTCTGTCTAATTTTGCCATTTTGGAAAAAAAAAAAAAGCACAAAATAAGGGGGGGGGGGGGGGGCGGGCGGCTTTGTTTGTCTTTAAAAAAAAACTTCATTGAAAAAAGAGTTAAGAAAACATGTTATTTTTTTGGCAATAGTCCAGAATAATTACAGTAGAACATCAGCACAAGTCACATAGATACCTCCCTTAAAATCATCTCTACTGACAAAACCTGCTATAGTGTGAACATCTAGTTATCCTGAGAGCATTTAGAAAACTCTCTTCTCTTAATTATGAGGAAATTGGAAGACTGGCTGAAAAACAGAGATGATATAGGCTCATTTAGTCTTGGGACTTTAGCAGTAAAAAATTTTCTGTAATTCTGGAAATAATAAGCATCAAAGTGTCTTCAGATCAGATGCTTTGTTTGCACCAACTTTGGTGAGATGGTGTTTGCATTCTGATATCCAGGACAGCTGATCCAAATTCACTTTGAAGTTGTTTCTGGGAGGATTAATCACTCTCCAGAGGCATTTCCTCATTTTCTGGGGTTCTTTTTGTTTGGTTGTTGTTGGGTTTTTTTCTTCTCCTTCAGTCACTGAATTGCGAAAGTATCAAAGATCAGGTGCAAATTTCTTGAGGGTTGTCTTGGTGGCTTTAGCACTAAACAGGGCAGCAGCTCTTCCTGCTTCATGTAACTCCCACACATGCATGATTGTGTAGACCTCTTTTTAGAGAAGGTACCCGTATCTATATGTACTCTTTAGTCACCCTGTCCTGATGTCCTCAACTGCACTATATTGTTCAGTGTAATCTGAAGAAGACAAGGCTTTGGTGGAGTAGCAGAAGGTGAAGCTACTCTCCAGGAGATGAACTGCATGCATCTGTAATGTTAGGCTGCTGCTTTGTGCCTGCTGGCATCTCAGAAAAAGTAGTGAGTGTATAGCCCTGAAACATATTTGGATTTCTGGATAAGGAAACTGTCTTTTTTTATTCTGACTTTTCCTAAGTAAGTAGGATGAGCATTCCTTGTATATCAGTAACGTTGTGCCAAATTAGTATCTCTGTCATATTTCACATTTCCCTTTTTGTAAACAACAGGGTGTGGCTCTGAATATTGACAAAAGTGGAAACGTATAATTTTCATGTAGATCTGTGCTGATGTTCTTCTAAGGTAAAGAATGACCTCCTAGACCTTTTCAGCTGGTTTACAATTTGGATTCCCTTCTAGTTTAAATGTTTATGATTTAACAATCATTAATTATCCACTGTGCCCAAGCCCAAGTCATTTAAACAGCATTGATTTTTATTGTCATTAGTGTCAGGGCAAATTACAGTTGTCAAAGATTTACAACTGTTCTGTGCACTAGAGTTTTCTGTTGATTCCTAACAAGGCTCAACAGCAAAAAGAAACTTGAGCAGGAAGCCAACTTGTTTGTATAGAGTATTACTACTAAATAATCATAGAAAGTTTTAAATCGTGGAAGATGTGTATATGCTCATGATTAACATTTGCAGCTTTGAAACCACACTCCTGTGAGAGAAACAAATTCACAAGTGTAAATTCCTGTAATCAAACTACTATTACTCTGAATTCCTCAGTTAATCTATCTCTGGCACTCTTTTTTTTTTTTTTTTTTTTTTTTCCTTTTCTCTTTCCTAGGCACATGTGTATGTGGGGAATGCACATGCCATGATGTGGACCCAACTGGTGACTGGGGAGATATTCATGGAGATACTTGTGAGTGTGATGAAAGAAACTGCAAAGCAGTTTACGATAGATATTCTGATGATTTCTGTTCAGGTAAGGAATATATATAAAAGGAACTTAGGTGTAGTTTTATAACAAAAGCATCCAATGGGTCAGATGTTGCTCTTCCTTAGTGTTCCAATTCTCATTTTCCTAGCTTAAAATATAGCAAGCTTTAGCTGCTTTTTTGGGGGGAGTGGACTTTTTAAATTAAAAGACATAATTCCATAAGAAAAAAAAAAGGTTTCCACTTCTAAAGTTTTTTAAAACATGACTTTTTTTCTATGCCTTTTAACAAAATTCTGTAAATACGAAATAATTCTAGGTGTCTATCTCCCTTCTAATACTCTTTTCTTTTAACATAAATTAGAGAATGGTTGAAACTTAAAAATTATATATTGCTGTGGTTTAACCCCAGCTGACAACTAAGCCCCACAGAGCCACTCGCTCATTTCCCCCAAAATGAAATGGGGGAGAGAATCAGAAGAGTAAAAGTGGGAAAGCTCATGGGTTGAGATAAAGACAGTTTAATAGGGAAAGCAAAAGCCGTGCATGCAAGCAAAACAACTCAAGGAATTAATTCACCGCTTCCCACTGGCAGGCAGGTGCTCAGCCATCTCCAGGAAAGCGGGGCTCCATCACACGTAATGGTGACTTGGGAAGACACACATCACCAATCCAAACATGCCCCCTTTCCTTCTTTTCCCCCAGCTTGTATTGCTGAGCATGTCATCATATGGTATGGAACATCCCTTTGGTCAGTTGGGGTCAGCTGTCCCAGCTGTGTCGCCTCCCAGCTTCTTGTCCACCCCCAGCCTGCTTGCTGGTGGGGTGGGGTGAGAGGCAGCAAAGGCCTTGATGCTGTGTAAGTGCTGCTCAGCAGTAACAAAAACATCCCTGTGTTATCAACACTGTTTCCAGCACAAATCCAAAACAGAGTCCCATAATAGCTACTGTGAAGAAAATTAACTCTATCTCACCCAAAACCAGCACTTACATACATCTCCTTCCGTGGGGAAATTTAAATTTGAAAATTTGTTAGATCAAATTTTGTTATTTCATGTTTTATGGCAGGGAGAGGACAAGTGAGAGGAAGAAATTTGAGGAAAAGTGAATTAAGGAGTTAATGAAAAACAGTACTCTGAGAATACCAATTGACCTGTGAACAAGTAGAGCATCAATATGTGGAAAATATGAATGTATGATCCAGCTGCACGTCACTGACCGTACATCTTAAACACTTTCATCTTCCTTTTCTGTTCTACTTCTACTTCAGAGCATTATATTATAAATTCATTAACGTCCTGCCATCCAAGGTTTGCAGTGTATTTGGACTGATGTTCCATGTATCACCTATCAAAAGCTGAGATTCTGAGCAAGACCTTGCATACAAATTTGTATAGTTATTGATAAAGATGCTGATACTAGGCAGGAGAGAAGGACTTTGATCAATACACAGCATGCCATTTGTACACAGAGAAACTTTGCAAAAACAAATTAAGGTGATTTCAAAAGGACTTGACAGATTACAGGTTGTCAGCTCTAATGTGTCCTGTAGATCTCTGATCTGGCCTAATTAATAATAGGAAGAATGCAGTCACGTCAAGGAAAATAATGATGTGGTATATTCTTCTCCTATTACTAGAATGAACGATGCCTTGTAGAAAGATCATAGGAGTTGCCAGTAATAGGGAGAGAAGAACAAACATGATACCTAAAATTCTTAGCCTCTTCTTTGCCTGTTATAAAGTGAAAGTTTCTCAACCGTTGTTTTATTTTTTTAATAAATATTGATGAATCACTAGCTAATAAAATGAGGAAAAAGAAAAAAAAGAAGCATTTCCAAAAACCTTCAGTGAATTAATTTGCTTGTTACTGTTCCAGCCACCTACAAAGGTTATAGAGGTTTATTTAATTAATAAGCTGGAAGGATGTAGAACTGCAGTCATGAGAGCAACAGGTGGATTGGCTTTGGGATGTTGTCAATTTTTGAATGTCTCATTGTGTTGCTGAGTATGTTTTTAGCACTTGGGGACTGATCAAAATGTCAGCATCAGCTGAAGAATACAAAGCTAAAAAACAACATGGTGAATGTGTTCTGTACTTAACGGGGAACACAAGAGTTTCAAACCTACTTAGACTAAAGCAAACCTGTGGCATCTATAGCTAATGCTGCAGCACTGAAACAGGGCTTGAACTCCCTCTTTCCTGGACATTATTGCCATTGCTGCTGCTGCTGCTGCCCTGGGTGCTAACAGTTGTAAGAAAGCAGAGTGTAATAAAGCATGGACAGTATTGGGGGAAAGATACTGCCATTTGACATTGGATTAAGAATCATAGACTCATTTAGGTTGAAAAAGACCTCTAAGATCATCAAGTCCAACCATTAACCTAACCCTGCCATCCCACCACTAAACCATGTCCCAAAGAGCCATGTCTACACGTCTTTTAAATACCTCCAGGGATGGGGACCCAATCACTTCTCTGGCTAGCCCATTCCAATGCTTGACAACCCTTTTGATGAAGAAATTTTTCCTAATGTCCAATCTAAACCTTCCCTGGTGCAACTTGAGGCCATTTCCTCTCGTCCTATTGCTTGTTACCAGGGAGAAGGGACCAATACCCACCTCACTACAACCTCCTTTCAGAAGGTAGCTGTAGAGAGTGATAAGGTCTCCCTTCAGCCTCCTCTTCTCCAGGCTAAACAACCCCAGTTCCCTCAGCCACTCCTCAAAAGACTTGTGTTGCAGATGCCTCACCAGCTTTGTTGCTCTCCTCTGGACACATTCCAGTAATGCATCTTTCCTGTAGCGAGGGGCCCAAAACTGAACACAGTATTCAAGGTGCAGCCTCACCAGTGCTGAGTACAGGGGCACAATCACTTCCCTACTCCTGCTGGCCAAACTACTTCTGATACAAGCCAGAATGATGTTGGCCTTCTTGGCCACCTGGGAACACTGCTGGCTCATGTTTAGCTGGCTGTCAATCAGCACACCTAGATCACTCTCTGCCAAGCAGCTTTCCAGCCTCTCTTCCCCAAGCCTGTAGTGCTGCATGGGGTTGTTGTGACCCAAGTGTAGGACCTGGCACTTGGCCTTGTTAAACCTCATACAGTTGGGCTGGTACAGTACTCTTTATTGCACAGATGTAACTATAAATGAGCAAATCTTGCGAGAGATACAAAAGGAAGTACTCATACGGCTTGCTTGATGTAACTAAAATGCGTGTTGAAGTATAGCCTAGTTTTTCTATCTAATCAGCAAAAAAAATTATTACTACTTCTTATTCTTATGTTTTAGAACAGCCTAATTTAGCCTTAGCTGTCCATCCAAGCATGCATTCCTCAAATAGGTTGTGCGAAACTCTCCATTTTCACGTGAAGCAGTGTGAACAATGTCTTATAGTCCTGCTGTTTTGTCCTGTTTCAGAAATGGACAAGATGCATAAGTATTAATTTTGGTTTATTGTGGTAGACAGAATCTGCAATTGAATCAAAGATTTACCAGCAGAACTGTAATTGGACAACTTTTTTATTTGTTTATGTGAAATAAATTTACCCAGTGTACAAAGTGTGCACACATTAGGTGTGCCTGCAAAATATCCTCATTTTTCTCACAATTATTTGTGAATTGATTTAGGATGAATCCAAGAGGGATTAGTAAAATCAGGGAAAATAATCCAGCTCTCTTAAAACAGAGCTGATGTAAAACCTTTCCTGTCTTGTTCTGCCTTCCTAACAGGTAGAGACAGGAAATTGTATTGTCCTGAGTAGCAGATTGAAATTATAGGAAATCATGTTTACATGGGCAGGGACACCTTCCACTACACCATGTTGCTCAAAGCCTCGTCCAACCTGACCTTGAAAATTTTCAATGACGGGGCTTCCACAACTTCTCTGGGCAACCTGTTCCAGTATCTCACCACCCTCACAGTAAAGTATTTCTTCCTAATCTAAATCTACCCTCTGAACAAGAGGAAGCCTTTAACACTTTTCAAGGAAAACAAGTAACTAATGTGAAGAAAAGTTATTCTTGTGAAATTGGTAAGACTTGTATTCTGGGAACTACTCTGATAATTCGTAGAAAGCCTGCTTCCTCCCATTTTCTCCTTGTGAACTGGTAAATGCATATGTTTGAGAAATATAATATAAGCTAGTCTTAAAATGTAAGTATGGTTAGAAAGACATATAAAATCTGTGTTGCTATGGTTTTCAAGAAGAACCTGGATAGACAAGTGGACATCAGAGCAACACTTTGGGGTCCTGTGTCCAGTGAATGATGACTATGTGAAAATTGTGTGAGAAGATCTAACCTGCTATCAGAACTCATGAAAAAAATATTTGATTTTGTGGCAAGGAAGGAATTTTTTTGCTGGTGCTCAAACTTTCCACAACCCATTCAAAGAACATTTTGTTTTGCCAGAATCCCACTGCTTTACAGAATCATAGAATTCTTTATGCAAAGAGCATTAGGTTCATGATGAAGGGAGCTAGGCAACTAGCTTATTTTTTCTTGGTCTGTACATGTTAGCATTCATATAGAGGAAATAATAGATTGTTTGGATGGCTTTCTAAGTTCACCCCTAACTTCTTGGGTATCACATTTTTTTAAAGAAACTTTCCAGAAAAGTTTCTATGGAGTTCAGTTGCTTTTCCTCACCTCAACTTGCATGGTGAACGTTGTGTTTATGTTGCTATGTTCTGATATGGTTCAGGAAGAGTCAAGTCAGCTAATGAGATGTGAAAACCACATCCAACTGCCCTATTGAAATGAGAATTGATTATGTCCAGTATTCTACTATTTGCACATGACTATTTAATAGAAGGCACTGGTTTGAGACTTGGAATTGGTGTGACATTGCTTGTCTTTAGTGGATGATGTTGACTGCAAGTAGATAAAAGATCGTATTGACATATTACTTAAAGAATTTGCTGCAACTGTGGTAGAAAAAGAAGAACAGAAAGGTAAATGAAATATTGCCTTGTGACAGCCCCACTTTTCCAGACAGTGTTGAAATATGTATTTGTAACCTCCATTCCACCCTTTCACATGAGGACTGTGTGCCAAATGGCAAAACATCCTTTAAGAAAAAAAATTAAAAGGAAATATGGCTCCAATGGAATGACAGACCAGGGCTATTTTCAGAAAAAGTAGATATAGTAAATTGATTGTATTTTTTGCCAGTCTGATTATTTAATGAAACCACAACTTTGATAAAGTTCATCTAATTATGAGGTTTTCATACCTATCATCAGTATGGAGGCTAATCTTTAATTGTGTTTGTTGTAAAGGTCATGGACAGTGTAATTGTGGAAGGTGTGACTGTAAGGAAGGATGGACTGGGAAGAAGTGTGAACATCCACGTTCTTGTCCATTGTCAGTTGAGGAAAGTGCTAAGAAATGCCAAGGAAATTCTAATTTACCTTGCTCTGGAAGAGGTAAGCCTATTTCTGGAAGAATTTTCATGCCCTTAAAATGTATTTCCATTAAAAGAATTTTTACAGATGTCCAGCATTACTAGTACTGAAAAATGTGAACTGTCTTGGCTTACTGTGCATGAGTCACAGCTGCATAACTTGTGAGTTAGGAGAATGGAGGAGAAGAATACAAAGCTCACCTGTTTTTCCTATCATCTACTGTTGTGTATCTTATTTTACATATCTCAACATTTGTTTTGGAGGTTTTCAAGGGTGCTTGGAAGATTGCTGCAGTTAAGTCTTTACTAAAGATATATTAAAAATATGACCCTATTCCATGCATTCTTTGACAAAACCAGCATGAGATTTTCAGCCTGTGTAAAATGGTGTGGCATCACTGTGATAAGAGCTGTGCAGTTTTACACTGCTTAAGAACCTGCCCTACTGAGTGCAGGACTGAATTCTAAAATGCAGTTGTTCTTCAGTGCTGTTTGCTATTAGCCACTGGCTTTTCATTTGAAAGCATTTCTTTGTGAAACTGTAGCCTTTTCAAAAGCTTGGACTAAAAAAATACACTAAGTCATACATACAATTGAAATACATGTTGAAAGCAAAAGGAAACTTTTCTCAGAAGGAAAAGAACCTGCTAATTTTCATCTGTCACTGTGCAAAATGCGGTTTTCTGCAGAGAGAAGAGAGAAAAGTAAATATGAGACAGAGTTTTTATAGAGCTGGTAATTAAAGTTGTTATGAATTCTGCCCGCTTGAATATTTGCTGGGGAAGGTCTAAAGCTACTCTTGAATTATTGCATTTGACCCTAAATGTGATTTCATTTGCAATTTCTTCTTGCTAACACTATCTAACACAGTCAAAAATTGTAGGCTGTCCACCCAAGTTAGCACTGCGATAATTGTATTTTTCTCTCCCTGTAAATGTGTAGCAGTTCATAACTTAGTTAACGTAGCATTATCTGTATCTTAAAAGAACTATGTATTAACAGATTGTTGCTTGCTGTTTTCTTAATTAGGCTACAATTTTCCAGTGAGTTACATCTCTTTTTTCTTGCTAAAAATTCTCAAAGGAATTTTTGGCTACAAGTTAGGTGAAACATGGGCATCTGTAGACAATTAACAGCATTTTATTGTTCATGATTGCAAGAATTATAACTAAAAGAAATAATGTTGACATTTGGATTTTTGTTGGGTTTTTTTGTTTTCTTTTTTTTTTTTAAATATGGGCTCACTCTTTTCCTATTCTCATTGGATTCTGAACGCCTCTTCTCTCATCTGCTTCACTAGGAGTTGTGTATGTTGAGCATTTGGAGTCAGTTCTATGATTTAATGCATTGTACACTATGAGAGTCAAATGACAGAGAACAGAATGACAGTCATAAAAACAAGTTTACTTTGAATAAAAACACAGTCTTAAGTTACGGAACATATTGTTCTATTTATATTTTAAATTTTAAAAAATATTATTAAGTATAGTGAGAAGAGTGAGTTTAAAGAGATCAGTATTAAAGGCAATAATTCTATCCTCTTGAGTTTCTGAAAAAAACCACCTGAGTAGTAATGCTGACAGTGTTTGCCTGTTGACATACTAGCAGTGAAATAAGTCCCTTTCAGGTGAATTCATTTGACTGAATGATCTGTTGGTCAAAATATACAAATAAAGTACAAGCAGTATCTATTGGAACAAAAGGCTTAATTGATAGCAGCTTTCACTGAACTTCCTTTGATTTCCAAACAAGAAGAGATCACCAAGGTTTATGAGGAGAGCAAATGAGCAAATGGCACAGGCATGGATATAGGACACAGTATGATAGACAGCTGCTGTAATGAAGGAACAAGAGATTCTGCATTCCATGCTTGAAAAAAATTCCCATAAAAACTGTAATTTTAAAATGGAATGTGGTATTTTGTTTTATTCTTATGAACAATTTTGTTTAGGAAATTGGGAGAGAAAAAGATAAAAGATATTTTAGTCTAATCATCTGTAAACTGGATAGTGTATATCTTTCCCCTGAACTCCCTGGATTTCACTTTCATCCATCATATTTTGGATATAATAAAAAATTTGAGAAAGTTCCTCTACTAGTGAAGTGATGTAGGTGTTTAGTTCCTATGAAAAATTGTCAATGGACTTGCACAGTTAATTTCTTTGGTCCCATTTGAAAATCCTACTACTTGTCATTATAGCTTGTCGTAGGCAGAAGTGTTACACAAGCAAATGAAGTGAAATAAAGATTTCCAGTCAAATGCAATCCCTTTCCAGTCTTCTGGTGTGAGAAAGGCCGTGGCCTTGTAACACCACCCCCAATTTTTGCAAATTCCACAAGGAGGATTGTGTAACAAGGAAGGGAAAGTTCCAAAGGAAATGGAATCGTTACCTTTTCCTCTTGAACATTATTGTTTTGGTAACCTGCTTGTAATATTTTTCTCCTGGCTATGGTACAAGGACAGTAAGTCCTTGTAGAGGTCAGTAATCCACTGCGCTGCTGGAGAAGTTGCGTACTTAAGGTCCTTATTTAATGGGATCTTTTAGTAAGGCAGTTCATGTATGGAATAGGATGCAGAACGGAGAGCTCAGAGATGCAGGTGCATGACTTTATGACTTTGCCATGTATTGTGTTTTCTTGAAGAATGTTTTCTATTCATCTGTACCTTTTGTTTCTAGGTTGGTCAACAACAGCTGTGACAGCTAATGTACTCTTTTGCAATCACTTTTATGGTCTTGGATAAAGACATTGAAGGGCAAAGCATTTTTAGGATTTTTAACACCATATAGATAGCCAAAATGTGTAGGGAGAAAAAGATAGAACTGTTACAATTCATAGTCTCTTTCTATAGTGTCTGTCTCAATGCTGACATATGCTCAGATTTTCGGGTGGAGGAGTTTGAAACTTCAGTTGTGATACTCTGTACCCAAGATTAACAAAAAATATGTTTCCTACATGGTATTTATTGTTGCAATGCTAAGTATGATTTCAAAATGTGACAATGCTTCACTTAAACAGGAGTAAAAAAAAAAAAAATAATTCCATGCTGCGTGATGGACCATTGAAGAGATGGTCCTTCAAAGCTTTGGCTGGCCATTTTTAGTTTTTTGTACATTTTGCAAAACTTTCTGATATGGAAGACTATAAAACTCCTAGTGATTCAGCTTCAGTCTTTAAAATCTCCAATAATAATTACAGAAGGTGAACCAGAAATAATAATAATAAACAACCAAACCAAACCAAGCCACCAAATCCTCTAAATTGCTCATTAAAAAAAAGATTTGGGATTTGTATATTTTTGTGTCAGAGATTTGGAATGTTGGAGGGCCTCCATTAAAAAAAAAAAAATCCTTTGTTTCACTTCACAAAATTTTATAATATTAGCACAAAAATCATAGCAAAATGATAGTCTTCAAAAATTTGTAATCAGTCGGATAGACCAAAAGCTTCCATTTTTGAACTTAATTTTGGTAAGGTGCTTATTTTATAACTTATACTTTGGTTTTGCAGGTAATGATGAATGAAAACATAAAGAGAATGTTAGCCTAATCTTACTCTTCTTTTTTTTTTTTTTTTTTATGATTCAATGACCCAATATGATTGCAATATAAAATTTTCATGTAAAGTACCAGGTTTTTATATAAGTGTACCCAAATTTTTATTAGTTACCTTTAAATCAAATTATGTTCCTACATAGGCAGAAATAGAGAAAGCATCAGCAATGCAAACTAAGAGAATCATCATATGCCACCCAGATTTTGAGAAACCTAGGTTCCCTTAATTCTAAGTCATGTAACCTCAGCAAGGGAGGAAAAGATACAGGAAAAAAAATTAACAATGAAAGAAAGTTTTTTGAAGTAAATTGTTTACTATATTATGGGTACATAAAAGTTCTATTAAAAATTTTGGAGAATTAAAAGGAAGTTACGAAGAACACGACCTAATTAGGTAATCACTATCTATAAAATGCTATAGATTACAATTTCTCAATCTGCATTTGGCTTTCCTGACATCTGAGGAAGCAGTGAACTTTTATTCCAGACTGTAATTCCCTTCCTGATTTTCCCCAGTGACTCACAGGAATAACAAGCTATTTCATAGGTGCTGATCAGCATGTGGGGAGAGCAGAGATGCTGCAAAAAATATATTTCACCATAGTCTTATATTTCTTAGCTGCTTCAATAGGTGAAGGAGAGAGAAGGCTTTCTATTGATGTGCTGAGCCATAAGTGAGAATGTCTACATTCTCAAATGGTGTTATAAAGGCAGAAGAAATATAAATACTCTCAGTTACATCAATCAGGCTGCCTTCACCTTCAGTAGTTCCTATTATATATAATGGGAGAGAAGGATCAGCTGAAAATTTTGGGAATTCAAATACACTACTGCTAGGTATTTTCCAAAAATTACTTTCCCTGCAAAAGCATATTGAGGACAAGGAGAGATTCTAGCCAGCTTCATTCATATAAAGTGAATAATTCCTTCTACACTTTTTATTCCTGAGAGTGGTTTTTTTTTTTTTTACTTGCTGGATGACTTTTCACTGTAGATGTAATACTTTCACAGTGAAAGTCTGTGCCTTTTAGGAACACACTGTACAACAAGACCAGTGTCAAAGATAAAGGAAAAGGCGCACCAAAAAAATCCGTATGGTAAGAAATAAAGAGATAGCATATAATTGTCAGGATTAAGGAAAAAGGCAAACCACTTTTCTCTTCAAAATGCACATCACTCACTTGGGTTTCCCCTTAGGGCAAAAAGGAGATTTCAAAACAGTTATAATAAAAAAGCCTTCAGGATCAGTACTGAAAGTAAAAAGAGTAGGTTTTGAGAATAATAGATGAGAGCTTTTTTAAAAATAATCTTGTTCTCATCACTTACCCTTAGTGAAGGCAGCCATCCCATGGCAGTGATTCAGAGACAGATAAATGACAAATCTTCTTATTGGTAGTGTCCTTTACCATTTTAATCTCTTTTCTATAATTGTTTTTATTTATTTGTCATATGGAGAGAATGAAAATGT